GGTTAATTAACAAACGGAGACGTAACAATAATAATGATGGAGTCACATTATTAGATATTGAAAGGGTTTTACTGAAGTTCTAGTATTAGCCTTAAGCTGCCATAGCAGAAAATTGCCTGAAATATAAAGTTTTTATCATCTGGAGAGTAAAGGTAATTTTTTCTAACTTTATTGCTAAATTGTCTAAATCCTTCTAGTGTATACAACAGCATGATGCATTATAGTATAGATTATATACAGTCTTAAACAAATTAAAAGTGTGCTTTTCTATCTCATATTCAATGTAGTGCATATTTATAAATTCTTGCTTACAAGAGGGGTGAAACTAGTCATCTTTTTTATTTATTTTTTACAGAGAATTTAAATTAAACTAAGGATACTTAGGCTACTGACAAATTAAGATTTTATGGCTCATATCAATTTATTTCAGGGCTCTAATAATAATAATTTATCTTTTGTTCATGTGCAATGGGCTCCAGTGGCAAGATTGTGTGCCTACAAAGCTAAAAACTGGGTTTCAATACCCATGGTGGGCACAGCACAGATAGCTTATTCTGAAGCTTTGTGCTTAACAAACAAACCTGTACAGTGTTTAAGTAAAAATGCATACTTACTAGCACTAATACTCAAAGTTTTTTTTTTAAATGGGACTAATTAATGTACAAGAAAATTGTGCTCTGAAAATTTATAGATATAATGATATATGTGTAATAAAATATATTACAGAAAATTGGATTTACTCTTATTTAGTTTTCTATAAATTTCTATTGGAAAAGTATTGTTGCGTCAGCGAGGTCACGTGACTAGTGTCACGCCACCTGTTTTCTTTTTCCTCCAACCACTGCTGTAATTTCTCTTCTCGTTCTTCTTGTTTCTTTTGGTGCTCTTGAACTTTAACAATACTCTCTGACTGCAAATCAATTACTCACTACCTACACACATTGTCGTGTCACGTTGTGAGCGTCTTATATATATACCAGACTACCCCCCCCCCAATCTAGTAAATGCTAGAGCACTCCCGAAGGAACGGGATAGTTCTAGAAACAGGTGGCGTGACACTAGTCACGTGACCTCGCTGACGCAACAGTATGAATAATGCTGAACCTCTCATTGAATGTTTGATTAGGTTATCTTAAATACTGAATATCGTTATGTACAAAGTAAAACATTTCCATAAAAGTTGTATATGCGATGTGATACATATTTGAAGAAAATCAGATGTACTGTGCGAAAAGTTAAAAAGATACATTTAGTTTCAGTAAACTTGTTATGTACAAGGTTTGTCTGTGTCTTTACATAAAACTTCATATTTATGTTTTTATTACTGATGTTTTGTGAATATCAGGTTCATTGATGACAATATTCGTATCGAATAAATTTAACTTTTAGTTTATCAGTTCATGAATATTTCTGTTCAAGTTAGTATTCTATTTTATATGCATTTTGTTATTTATTTAATTTTTCAGTGTGTAGATTATTTCATCTAATAAACATTAATAATTATTTTTCTATAATTAATTATTAATTATTTTTGTATTTTTTGCTTCATTTGTACTTTTATATTATTTAATTTCAATCTTACCCCTGTGAAGGATCTTCTCTGATATGCTTCATTTAAGTTTTAATGGCTTCTGATAACAAAACCTGTAAGACAATCACCAAAACCAGAAAAGACCATTACACACTGCTAAAAATTTTTTTGTGGTAGGTGATGGTCATTGTATCAGGGCACTGCTGCTAAATCAAAGTTTGTTTTAAGATTTTTTTTTGATAATAAACAAAGGGGAAATTATAATTTTAACAATACTTTGTTCAAAGCATCAGAATGGTGTTTTATAGACAAATATTTTTACCCCTCCATTATGTTAAATGTAAACTGTATTTAAGTTAACATTATTCCCAAATACAACAGTAATGTCGCTGTGTATTGTTAATAACAGTCTAATTAATGAAAACAGGTTTTTGAATTACTGCATTAGGGTTCACTCGGGATGTGTAACAACTACCTGTATGTGAAATAAGCAGGACAGTTAAAACTTTATAAACTTGTAACATTTGTTGTGCTTTCTCTATGTTCAGTCATCAAGTCTATAGAACATGCGAAGAATGTTCATTATGATATTACTGATGCATGATACTGATGTTGTGTAGGTGAATCTTGGAAAGCATATCACATTCATAGTAAAATCATTAAACCAAATGTTTAAAAGAATTCCATCGTTAACAAAGATCTTGCTTCTTCCCAAAGGTACGCACATGTCGTTAAGCCCCGAAGCAGAGGAGGTGGCAGGGTTTTATGCCAAGATGCTTGAACATGATTATACTGCTAAAGACGTTTTCAATAAAAACTTTTTCAAGGATTGGAGAAAGGTTTGTTTAAAACTTGAATATTTTGTTGTTATTTTCCAACATCTTTTTTATGATATTGCCTTTAAATATCATATTCACTCACTGTTTATCTAATAATAATTTTTTCCTTTTTTGAGTTGATGTTTTCAAATGTTTGATTGTTCCTTTTTATACAAGTCGTCTTGTGACTTCATTTTGTTTTGTCTGGTGCCGTAGGTGATGACCCAAGAAGAAAGAGAACACATCACAGACTTAAAGAAGTGTAATTTCAAGGAACTAGCAGAATACTTCAAACAGAAATCAGAAGAGAGAAAGAACATGTCAAAGGAGGAAAAAGCTGTAAGACACTTTGAATGTATACTTATATTTATACTTTAGAAATATTTAAAGAAACATAAGCTTGTCTCACATATTTTGTGGTTGGTTTTTTTTGGGGGGGGTGAATGCTAGATTAATGGAATCTTCCATACTGGAGCTTTCTGGGGTTCATTTCTGATCAATTATTTTCAATGAACAAAAATTTTAAGAAAACCTATATTTGAATTCCTATAAACAGTCTGGATAGATGAAAAACTGAAGGTGGTAGCTATGTTTAATATCTAAATAATATCTAGATTATAAGAACGTAATTTTGGTGATGGAGATCACAAAACAAACTTTTCTTCTTATTTCCTTACATTATTCTTGCAACTGAAGGAAATTGTGACAAATTCTACTAGATACAATGGGTTGTCTGCATAAGATGTTCAGATTAAAGCTGTTAAAAAACTCTGTTTGTGACTCAGTATTAAAGATCTAATTGTCTGTATTTTTACTGACATGTTTACTTATTGCTAGCACTTTAAAAATTACATGCTATTATATTATGATCAAGACATAATACTATATCCTTTTGAATAAAATATTCAACAGAAATAAATTAGAAGGTTTTTAGTAATTTTTACCATAGTCTCTGTTTTATAGGAAATTAAAAAAACGAATGAGGAGATACAGGAAAAGAATGGATTTTGTATTATTGATGGGCACAAACAAAAAATAGGAAACTTTAAAATTGAACCCCCTGGACTTTTCCGTGGCCGTGGAGAACACCCAAAAATGGGAATGTTGAAGAGACGTGTTCAGCCTGAAGACATTATCATTAACATTGGAAAGTAAGTTAACTTGGCAGAAATGAAAAGTTTATTTTGCGATTAGGTTGAATCGTGTTTCATAGTTTAGACTTAATAGATTCAGTAGTAAAAATAAAAGTTATTACTTTTGAATTACATGATATAAATCAAAATAAAGTTTTAAACTTTGTTTGTTTATTTATTTGTAGTTAAGCACAAAGCTACACAGTGGGCTCTCTGTGCTGTGCCCAAAATGGGTATCAAAACCCAGTTTTTAACATATAAGTCCACAGACTTGCCACTGGGGGGCAAGTTTTAATCTGGAGAAATATGTATGCTTATTTATATTTATTTAACAATTGCAGAAACAAATTCTTTTTTACAATGAAATCTCAGTTAATTTCTATTGAAAAATATCTTTTTTGCTGTTTATCTTTTAAAAACTTTAATGTTTTTCCCCTAGTTGAAGACCAGTTTTGATAAATAGGACAGTAGGTAAATACATGTTAAAAACACTTTTATGTAGACTTTCCTGTATAGATTTTATATTGAATAGATTTAGCTGAACTTCAGTTAGAAAATTAATGTATTGGCTTGATGGATTGAGTTTTTATTTTATTTTTGGCAGTCTACCTTATATTTTCTACAACAGAAAACTAGAAATTCAAGTAACAAAATAGTATCAACATACAAAATCTATTTTCGTTTTAAATGATTTTTTTAAACTAAAGAGCATTATTGTTTGTTCTATTGTTGTGTTCCTCTTGTATTCTATGTGATGAAAACTTACTGTTGAATTATATTTTCCTTGATTCAAAGGTTTATTTTTGCCCCTTTTCACGTGGTTGACTTTTTTGAAATTATTCTTTTGAAAAACGGTGTTTTTGTTGTCTTTACTACATTGTAGACTGTTACTATTATTTATGATAAAAGAAATTGGTCCTGCTCCCAAATCTTTATCACAAGTCATCTGTAACTTGTCCTCAGTTTATTTGGGCCATCATTCCATTCACACCTAAATCTGTGTTTTTACTTCTTCATAAGAATTGTCTCTTATTAGTCAAAAAGTTGAAGAACCACCGGAACGAAGAATATTGTTGTCTTTGCTATTTTATAGACTGCTGTAATTACATTCTATTTGACTACAGAGTGTTTGTCTTTACTTTTGTTTACTCTTAACTATTATAACTGTACACTTCACTGAAAATAAAATCTTGAAATTGAGGCCTAACTATAATTCCTTGTTTTGCTGACCCAAGCTGTGCTGATTAGCTTTGAATAGCTGAAACTGCACTCCACAGCAGAGGGTGCAGTGAATCAAAGAATGCCTCTATGTCACAGATTATATTTTTTGTTTAGCCTTTGGTGAAATGAATCTGTAATATAAACAGTAAGTAGTTGGTCTGCATAAATTATTACATAGACACATTGGTCTGCTGTATAATATTGAAAAATAAATTAGGAGCAGTGCCATAATATTGTTACGTCTCTGGTCGTTTGTTAATTTCTGGTATAAATTCTTCCCAAGGAACTACAGCGATACAAGTCCTATCTTAATTAAAACTAGTTTATTCTTTCTCGATACAACTTTGCAATACAAAGATTTTTCCACATTCACTTTAAAGTTAACTACTTTTATAAACACATGCTATAATTCACAACAATTCACGCACTTTACTTACAGTCACTACCACTCGCTTCATTCAATTATCTGTCTCTATATCTGTCTATCTGCCATTATCTCTGCTTTATATGACGGGCTTATATACTAAAATAGAGGGTGCCTGGAAAAGACTAGAGTTGCCAAGAAAAGTCATGATCCTTCTAGAAGCTCATGACATGTTACCAGCGTCACGTGACTTCCGCTGTCATAACAATATTATTCACATGCCTAAATTAATTTATGGTGAGTTAAAACATAAACCTAATAAATATTATAAGTATATCCTATTTGTCTAAAGAATATTTTTCCTGTGGTGTTTTTTTTAACTCTAATAATTGTATTTGATTTTATTAAAGAGTATTGTTGTCTATGCTTCTTTGTATTCTATTAACTATTACAATTAACAGAAAATTATACTCATCTAATGCTAAGCTTGTAACACAGCAGTTTTCAGATTTGACATTTACTAACAATGTAGTACCGAAAATTTTCTTTCTCATGATACCTTTATGTACTTTAGCTGTTGTAGTTACCTCAGAGTGATCATACATAGGTAGGTAGATAAATAAAACTTGTTTATTAAATATAATGAGACATTCTACTTGGCTAAAAGTATTGTTGTTTTTACATCACCTTCTTAGAGAAGGAATAGTTCCCAAACCTCCAGAAGGACACAAGTGGAAAGAGGTTCGACACGACAACACTGTTACTTGGTTGGCATGCTGGGTAGAAAATATTCTAGGTGCTTCCAAATATATCATGTTGAATCCCAGCTCAAAACTGAAGGTAAATTCACTGCTTATCAGTTATTTTAAAGTAGATAAAACCTGTAGACTAATACTGAATCTTAGCAAAAAAAAGATGAAAGTGAAGTTCCCACTTAACTACTTTACACTATTAAGCCATGAATGATATGCCAAGCACAAACTAAAGATATAGCAACTGCTTAAATACTTACTGAACTTTGTACTTAATTTGTGGATTTGGAAAAACTTAACTATAAATTAGCCAAAATAGTAATCATCTCATTTTCCTTCATAAATGTAAATAACATGATGTAATTCCTAAAGGACTTATGGTTAAATTAACTCAAAGACTAACTTAGAAAATAAAGTCATGCTCTATGAAGGGATAAAGTATCACCATCTAAATATAAACACAAAATAACATTAATGAACATTATAAGAAGTTAAATTATACAAAAGAGAACACAGAGTTTATCACAATATGTATAATTATTCAAACTTTCTACTTGTACCAACACTCACTTGCTCATATACAAAGGAAGTTCAGATAAATAAACTGAATTCAATCCTTGTTTCTGCAAACAAGTCCCAATTTAACCCCATTCTATCTGCAATAGCCCATCATGCCAAATAAGACATAGAATAAATTGTGATAATGCTAAAACAATGGGTTATGAACACACATGAGAACAATAAAGATAAAAAAAGCCTTCTATGCCCACCTACAAACTAACATAGAAGTCAGAAAAAACCTCTATTGAAAATATTCAGTTAATTAGTTGACTGAAGTCCTAATGGGAGGATCCCCCAAATGAGTGAATAGTACACCAGCCTCTCTCTATCAAGAAGACTCAGGATCAAATCTTGGTCACTATTGCAAAAGAAATAATCCTTCTCAAGACTTCCTTGTAGATGGAAGCTGATTAGCAGTTAAAACATGGGATAAAAACTAGTTAGTGATTGGTATTTAGTAATTAAAAATAATTAGCAACAAATTAATAATTAGATTTGAGTAATCATATAGGTTCATGACAATGAACAACTACGTAATTATAATGAAAAAAATGTTGCACACAATTTACTGTGTTTGCCAGTGTAAAAAACGATACTTTTTATTCTTAAAATAATCCCCAATTTTACTTCTTGTCTTATACACAAGCTCACAGATAGAGTTCCAGTAAGAACTCTCAGGTTAATAGCATATTTAACCAAAACTATATTGTTCCTTTTACATTTGTTTGTTTTTTGAGTAAATGCATTGACATCGTACCACCTATTGTGTTACAATAAAGTATTTATAATTGTATCATTTGTCTCGATCTTCATAACTAGAAGTTATTTATTTCACATGCTAGTTATAATTAATCAAAGCATTTTGGATTTGAAATGTCTTGATCTCATTCGTCATATTAAAATATTGCTAATTTTGTATCAAAAAAAGTTAGTTTCTGTAATGTACACTAAATTAGTACAAGTTAAGAGGAAAATGTTAAGTTAGTGAAAATGAAGTTAGACAGCATGATTGTTAGTTTAGTTCTACTGGGAAATATTTTAAAGTGAGTTTTACAGTTTAACAGAGATAAGGACAATAATTTGTCTTATCAAAGGGTGTTCTAAAGTAACTGAACCTGCCTGTGTACACTTTGAGTAAAATAGAATTATTCAAAACTCTGAATACAACTGTGGTAACCCACGTATTAACGTAAGTGAATTTATCACAGATTGTGTAGTAAGAAACAGAGTAGATAGAAATAATTTCTCTTGTCAGTTGAGTTCTAAAGTAACTGAACTAGCCTGTGTGGACTTTTGAAAAGAAAGAGAATTATTTAAAGCTTTAGATACAACTTTGATAACTATTGTGAAACGAATTTTTGTACACAAGTTTGACTTGTTTTGAATATATTATTTTAAAACAAATGGATTGTTTGCTGTCCATTTATTCTTGACACAATAACTCAGTAATTAGTCAATAACATGATACAGACTCACTGACTAACTAATCAACTGATTAAATTATTTTTTATATTACAATATTTGCTTTCCACAAGTCTAAAAAATTTAAATGTCACATCAAATCTATGGAAATTTCTAGGGATCACTAATATTGTGCCAAAACTCTCTCTAGCAAACAATAGAAGACATCTAAATTAAAATATTGAAAAGCATAGTTCACAACAATATTATCAAATGCTAATGTACTGTTTATTCTACTTAAAACTATTTAAAAGTAAATACTGGTATTATTTTCTACTCCATGCAGGTATTCTTTTACCATGATATATGTCAGGTTTTTTATATATCGATGGACTGTAATATTTATAGTAGGTGTCTGTGACTTGTTGGTGATAAATGTCAACAATAAATAAACAGCACACAGTTCATTTGTTTTAAAATAATATATTAAAGCAAGTTAAACGTACATACAAATGTTTGTTGCTCTTCTGGTTATCACAGTTGAATTCAGAGTTTTAAATAATTGTCTCTTTTTCATCAAAGCTCACACAGCCTGGTTCAACACAATTGACAAGACAGATTATTCTTCTCTACTCTGTATTACAATATAGTCTGTGATAATTTAGCTTTAAAAATCGCCACTATACACTCTCTATGGCTAAACTCACAATCATGCAGTCTAGATCTATCTTTTCTTTCTAACTAGATAACTAACCAACTCAAACTACATTTTGGGCATGTATTTATAGCCCGACTGAGATATTACAATGTAATAATACTCAATTAAAACAACAAGAAAAACTTGCATTAAACTTAAACAGAATCTAAAAATGTATATCTAAAAATATATATATATATATAAATTTATTTATATATAATTTTCATATAATTTAAGCTTACTTTAATTTACAGGGTGAGAAGGACTGGCAGAAATATGAAACAGCTCGAAAGTTGTATAAACATGTTGATAGGATCAGAAATGAATACCGAGAAGACTGGAAGTCAAAAGAAATGAGAGTGAGACAGAGAGCTGTGGCACTTTACTTTATTGATAAGGTAAAGTACTTTTAACTTTACTGCAGACAGTTTCTCTAAAAGGCAATGTTTTGCATTAAATGAGATATAATAAGCTACCATCAAGCTCTCTCGTGTTAATTAGTTTATTGAATAATTATAAGTTATGGTAATGATTACAAACTGACCATATATGTTACTTTATATGTGAAAAGAGCAGTATTAACAATATTTAGTTATATTTGTGATAAATTTAACACTTAATGTCCTTAATGAAGCTGTGGCATTTAAAGATGATCATGATTTTATTCCTTCACAGCTTGCCCTTCGTGCGGGTAATGAGAAAGAAGAGGGGGAAAGTGCAGACACAGTAGGCTGCTGCTCACTGCGTGTGGAACACATAACTTTATATGATGAGAAGGATGGTAAAGACTATGTTGTTGAGTTTGACTTTCTTGGTAAAGATTCCATTCGTTACTTTAATAGTGTCCCAGTAGAAAAGCGTGTGTACAAGAACTTGAAGATTTTTATGGAAAACAAACAACCTGGTGATGATCTGTTTGATCGCCTAAATGTAAGTTGTGTTTACAACTTTTTTAATTTTGGAGACTAGTGAAATTCAAATGCCATAAGTTCGTTAAAGTAATCACAAATTTCAATAATTTAAGTACTAAACTAGTAAAAGAGTGTACGTTCATAATTGAAACTATTTTGATATGATATTGGTGTGAGTGGATTGTTTAAAATATTTACTTAACAAAGTGAGTTTGGTATTCAGTTGGCAACCTGTGTGGTGGGTTGAGATGTTCTAGTAATGACCTATTTAGTTGGTTAAACTCAAACTTGTTTTAAGTGGTATAATAATATATCTCATGAGCTGTTTCAGTAGTAACTTGTTTGTTCATCCAGTTCTAGTGCTCTTTGTTTAGTAACTTGTTGGTCTAGTTTTAGCATTGTTTCAGCAGTAAGTTGTTCATTGGATGGTTTTAGTGCTCTTTCAGTATTAATTTGTCTGTTGGTCCAGTTATAATGCTGTTTTCAGTTGTAACTTGTCCACTAGGCCAGTCTTAGTACTGTATCAGTAGTACTTTATCACTGGGTCAGTTTTAGTGCTATTTCAGTTTTAACTTGTCTACTGGGCCAATTTTAGTACTTTTTCAATAGTATGTTATCAGTGGGTCGATTTTAGTGCTATTTCAGTAGTAACTCATCCATTGGGTTGGATTTAATGCTTCATGAGTAATAACAGTTTTTGGGGTATTTGCGTTTTGGGCCGGTTTCAGTACTATATTGATATCCTAACTTGTCTAATGTGTCATATGTTCAGGTGAAGCTTGTTTCCCTTAGAGTGAAAAGATAGGTCCACCAAATAACAAATTTTACAATATATTTATTACAGGGTAATCCTGAATTATCAGAACTTGTGAGAAATAAAGAGGCTGGACACATGTGTACAGAAATACAAGAAACATGTGTTTTGTTTTAACATTGAGGGTGATTACTTTTACTGGAGAATTAAAGATCTGTTAGTTCTCTAACTTTTAAGCCATTAGACCAGAATATCTTCAAGAAAAACTAACTCAAAAACTGTCTGTTGAATTAGTGTTCCAGTTTGAGAAGGTATCGCTTTATAAAGTTAAAATCTATAGCATCATACCTTCCCAAGGCTAATAGCACTACCCATGTCATTGGTCATTCCCATCTGAAAATATGGGAGGCTATAACTCCAAGATTGCACCTGACCTACCATTGGCTAAAACTAATGTCTACTTTCATATGCAAGTTGTAGTTATACAGCTACTATTTCCATTGGCAGATCAGATATTATTCCAGGATAATGACATAAAACAACAGGTAGCTAAAGCAAAATAATTCAATTCTTTCTTAACAATGTGATATGTGAGAAATACACATACATATGATAAACTGACAAATTTAGAAACAAGAAGGTACTAAACAGATGGTATGCCTGCATACCACAGATGGACTTACTTCATTAATATTACAGTGGCAAATTTTTTGATGTACTGGTTTTAGTATGTAGTATTGTAGTGGCAACTTATATCACGGACTGGTTTTGTTATTGTTGCAGTGGCAACTTGTTTATGGCTGGATTCAATACTGTTGTAGTGGCAACTTATATCATGGACTGGTTTTGTTATTGTTGCAGTGGCAACTTGTTTATGGCTGGATTCAATACTGTTGTAGTGGCAACTTATATCACGGACTGGCTTCAATATTGTTGCAGTGGCAACTTATATCACGGACTGGCTTCAATATTGTTGCAGTGGCAACTTATATCACGGACTGGTTTTGTTATTGTTGCAGTGGCAACTTGTTGATGGGCTGGATTCAATACTGTTGTAGTGGCAACTTGTTTATGGGCTGGCTTCAATACTGTTGTAGTGGCAACTTATATCACGGACTGGCTTCAATATTGTTGCAGTGGCAACTTGTTGATGGGCTGAATTCAATACTGTTGCAGTGGTAACTTGTCTGATGGACTGATTTCAATACTGTTGCCTTGTCTGATAGAGTGGCTTCAGTACAGTTGCAGTGGTAACTTGTCTGATGGACTGGTTTAAGTACTGTAGCAATGGATAGTTTTAGTAATGTTACATTGGCAACTTGTCTGTTGGACTGACTTTAGAACTGTTACAGAAGACAGTTTCAACACTGTTGTAGAAGTAACCTTCTCCAGTATCTGATATTAGTGATGTTTGGATTGTATCTTATCTAAAGAGTCAGTTTTGATGCTGATGCGGTTGTTTTTTTTTGGGTGTGTGGAGGGTTGATCATACAGTAATATAGACCTTCTAGTAGAAGGAATATGTAATTTATAGAATCCAGGGTTATACATGATTAAATATGTTTATTTTCAGACTGCCATATTAAACAAGTACCTAAATGAACTCATGGAAGGACTCACAGCCAAAGTTTTCAGAACATTTAATGCTTCTAGAACACTTCAGGAGCAGCTAAGCCTCCTGATGGAAGGTTAGTAATGGATTCCAAACACGTTATATTTTTTGTTACAATGTCAAGTAAGGCCTATATATTAGAACACACACATATATATATATATATATATATATTATTTAGAAAATCTAAAAATTAAGTAATAGAATACATCAAAAGGAAAGATAGCATGAATTTTATGCAGCATATCCAAATGTAATTAAATGTCAATTCATGAGAGAGAAAAAAAATTACATCCACAATGCCAACATCCAACACCAGGGTATAAATCATAAGATGGGTCATTAGGTAATGTGCCCTGGTTTTTAGAGGAACTGGTAAAAGTAAGAATCAAATTGTTTTGGGGGTATACTATATATATCCAATTTAACCTCAACTTCACTGGCCTCACATGATTAAGAAATAAATATATAATTAAGCAGATGTGGGTGCTCTAGCCCACAATGTCCCACATCTTTACCACCTTTTGCTGTCTGCAGCCAGATGTGGGTGCTCTAGCCCACAATGTCCCACATCTTTACCACCTTTTGCTGTCTGCAGCCAGATCTGGGTGCTCTAGCCCACAATTGGGACATTGTGGGCTAGAGCACCCACATCTGGCTGCAGACAGCAAAAGGTGGTAAAGATGTGGGACGATCTTTACCACCTTTTGCTGTCTGCATCCAGATGTGGGTGCTCTAGCCCACAACGTCCCACATCTTTACCACCTTTTGCTGTCTGCAGCCAGATGTGGGTGCTCTAGCCCACAACGTCCCACATCTTTACCACCTTTGGCTGTCTGCAGCCAGATGTGCGGTACATAGTTACGTCTTG